GCTCTACCACTGAGCCACCTTCCCAGCCCAACTGTTTTGTTTTTAAATGACCTGGCAGTCTCAGTCTTAATCCTTTCTCAGATTTTTCAGGCCGACCTTCTTAAATAACTTGTATTTTTACTGAGTGCAAATGCCCTTTTCTGAAGAAAGTGGTTTGCTGTTCAAACATAGGAAATAACTGTTGCAAAGAAATGCTTGGCATTCAGAATTTGGAACAATTGGTTGGCTAAGGAAACATTAATGAACATCACAGACTGACTGGCCTCCCAGGAATGAGTTTCAAGCTCTGACTTTTTTTCCTTTGTAAATGGAAAAAGAACCTTTAATTGTCCTCCATTTCTACCAACCACATGCCCCAGACTTTCCAGGGGACCTCCCAGTTCCTTCCCAGACCATGCATACTGTCACTGAGTCTGGAAAATAGAGTTCTTTGGGGTCATTTGATTGGATGTGAAAGTCAATGAGCTGAGTTCAGATCAGTGGCCTTAAAAAAGGAAGATACTGTGTTATCAGATCTGTTTAGAATGTATTTTACCATTCCAGAAGTACTTGAGACAAGGAAATTCTCACTGGGCGGGATTTTAGTTATATAGTTGGGTGGTTTCAAGACAATCATTGAGGTCAGGCACTGGTGGTTTACAGTACCTGTCATCCTAGCTACTCAGGAGGCTGAAATCTGAAGATAACAGTTCGATGCCAGACCAGGCAGAAAAGTCTGTGAGATTCTTTTTTTTTTTTTTTTTTTGCTTATGTGGTGCTGAGGAATCGAACCCAGGGCCTCAGGCATGCAAGGCAAGCGCTCTACCACTGAGCCACCTTCCCAGACCTCTTTTTTTTTTTTTTTTTTTTTTTTGGGGGGGGGTCAGTTGTGGGACTGAACTCTGGGCCTGGGTACTGTCTCTCAGCTCTTCAGCTCAAGATTAGCGCTCTACCACTTGAGCCACAGCACCACTTCCGGCTTTTTCTGCTTATGTGGTGCTGAGGAATCAAACCCAGGGCCTCATGCATACAAGGCAAGCACTCTACCACTGAGTCACCTTCCCAGAATTGTAGATTCATATCTACAATTAACCAGCAAAAATGCTGCATGTGGGGGTGTGGCTCAAGTGGTAGAGTGCTAGGCTTGAGCCAAAAAAGTTAAGGACAGTGCCTAGGCCCTGAGTTCAAATCCTAGCACCAACTCACATAATCAACAAAAAGGAATATTGTTTGTCATATTTATATGGTCAGATTTAGTTCTCCCATTGGGCTATTTTTTCTGTTCGTCTCATCTGGGTTTTGTTTCCTTCTTCCTGCATTATTTTAGGTTAATCAAGTATTTGTAATGCTGCATTGAAATTCTTCCATTGGTTTTTCAGTTCTGCAATCAATTATTGCTTAATTTACCTAAATCATACCATTTCCTGCAAAACATAAGGGTCTTAAAAAGGGATTTATTTGCTCCACCTGTATTTTGTGAGTGTCATTACATTCATGTATTTATTTTTGTTGGTCTTGGGGCTTTAACTCCAGGGCCTGGGTGCTGTCCCTGAGCTTTTGTGCTCAAGGCTAGTGTTCTACCACCTGAGCCACAACTCCACTTTAGCTCTTTTTTGGTAGTTAATTGGAGATAAGAATCTTATGGACTTTTCTGCCTAAGCTGGCTTCAAACTACAATCCTCACATCTCAGCCTCATGAGTAACTAGGATTACAGGTGTGAACAACTCAGGATATTTTTGTTCGCCTTTTTTTTTTTGGTTGGTCTGGGGCTTCAACTCTGGGCCTGGGCGCTGTCCCTCAGCTCTTCAGCTCAAGGGTAGTGCTCTATCCCTTGAGCCAGAGCGCCACTTCCAGCTTTTTCTGTTTATGTGGTGCTGAGGAATGGAACCAGGGCCTGATGCATGCAAGGCAAGCACTCTACCACTGAGCCAACTTCCCAGCCTTACTTTTGTTCGCCTTTGTAGTAGACACTGTTCTGTTTTTTCTGACTTCCATTGTTTGTGACATGTAATCAGTCCTTATTTGTATTATTGTTCCCCTGGATGTTTTTACCTGACTGCTTTTTTCCCCCATTCTCCTTTAGCATTTTTTTCTTTTCTTTTTTTTTTCCTTTAGCATTTAATAATGATGTGCTCACATATGTTTCTTTATATTTATCCTGCTCTAATTCATTAAGTTCATTAATGCCTAGACTTGTGTTTTTCCAAGTGTGGAAAATCTGCCTGCTTTGTTGTTCCCCTTCTCCCCCCCAACTATGTTTCTGCGTATTTCTTCCTACCACTTCTTTTCTGGGATTCTAGTTACACATATGTTAGACTGCTTGAACATCCCACAAATCCTCTTTACTTTTTGGTTTGGATAAGTTCTGTTGATCTTGCTTCAAGTTCTTAGAACTTTTTTCCAGTCATCTTCAGTCATATGCCAAGCCTTAACTGATTTTTTTAAAATTTCATATATGGTACTTTTTTGTGCTAAAGTTTACATTTGACTCATTTTTATAGTTTCATTTCATTGATGAGATTTCTCCTATCTGGTCATTCATTACGACCTTATTTTCCTTTTAAGTTCTTGAGCATCTTTGTAACAGCCATTCTAATTTCCCTGTTTATTTCAGGATTTGGTCATCTTGTGCCAGGTTCCTATTGATGCTGGTGCATATTCGATTCCATTTCATGTCTAGTAATCTTTTACTATGTGCTGGGCAGTATATGTAGTATATAATGAAGATAATAAATGTTGTTCTTTCTCTGAAGAAGAATCAATTTTTTACTTGAGCAAGTTAACTTAGCTGGACTCCAAATTCTGTCTTTCCTTTAGTGAACTTTTTTTTTTTTTTTTTTGGTCAGTTGTGGGGCTTGAACTCTGGGCCTGGGCTTGGTCCCTGACCTCTTCAGCTCAAGGTGAGCGCTTTACCACTTGATCCACAGTGCTGCTTTGGTTTTCTGATGTTTAATTGGAGATAAGAGTCTCACTGTGTAGGCTAGCTTTGAACTGAGATCCTCATATCTCAGCCTCCTGAGTAGCTAGGATTATAGGGTGAGCCCCCAGAATCTGTCTGGTGAACTATTTTTTTGGTCATAAGGCTTGAACTCAAGGCCTGGGTAGTGTCCCTGAGCTTTTTATTCAATGGTAGAAGTCTGCCACTTGGAGTCACAGTGCCACTTCCAGGTTTTTTTGGGTTTTTGTGGGGTTTTTTGAATGGTTAATTAGCGAGAAGCCAGCCTGGGCTGGCTTTAAACCATGATCCTGAGGGCTGGGAAGGTGGCTCAGTGGTAGAATGCTTGCCTTGTAAGCATAACGCTCTGGGTTCGATTCCTCAGCACCACATGAGCAGAAAAAGCCGGAAGTGGTACTGTGGCTCAAGTAGTAGAGCACTACCCTTGAGCTGAAGAGCTGAGGGACAGAGTTCAGGCCCCACAACCAACCAAAAAAAAAAAAAAAAAAACCATGATCCTCAGATCTCAGCCTCCTGAGTAGGTGGATTTTCAGGCTTGAGCCACCAGCACCTGACTGATTCTTTGGTGAACATTTCTTTTCTTTTGTCAGTCATGGGACTTGAACTCTGGGCCTGGGCACTGTCCCTCAGCTCTTCAGCCCAAGGCAAGCGCTCTACCACTTGAGCCACAGCGCCACTTCTTAAAACACACTACTTAAAACAATATGGCTTAGAGACATGCCTCAGCTGGAAGAATGCTTGCTGGAGGCACTGAGTTCAAACACCAGTGCCATCAAGGAATGAGAGGGAGAGAGGGAAGAGAAAAGAAAAGGAAAGGAGTGTCTACAATTCCATCAAACTTCAGAACAAATAATATAATTACAGTATCATGAATATTATTTTTTTCTTTTTTGGTCAGTCGTGGGGCCTGAACTCTGGGCCTGGGCACTGTCCCTCAGCTCTTCAGCTCAAGATTAGCGCTCTACCACTTGAGCCACAGTGCCCACTACCAGCTTTTTCTGTGTATGTGGTGCTGAGGAATCGAACCCAGGGCCTCATGCATGCAAGGCAAGCACTCTACCACCGAGCCACCTTCCCAGTTCCATGGTGAACATTTCTTGAAATCTGCTTGAGCTGGGCCCTGGTGGCTCACACCTGTAATCCTAGCTACTCCAGAGACTGAGATCTGAGGATCACGGTTCAAGGCCAGCCCATACCTCTAATAAACCACCAGAAAATCGGAAGTGGTGCTGTGGCTCAAGTAGTAGAGCCCTTGTCTTGAGCTCAGGGACAGTGCCCAGACCCAGAGTTCAAGCTCCACTACCAACAAAATAAAACAAAAAAAGAAAAAGAAATCTCTGCTTGATGCTTTCCACCTAGAAGCTGATACCTTTCACATGTGCAGTTCAGGGATAAACTAGGGTTTTGGATAGAATTTATTCATAAATTTGGAGGGCTCTTGTGATTTCCCTTTCTGGGATTTTCTCCTTCACTTTCAGTGATGCTGTTAATTCCAGCCTTGGTCTACCAACTCATCCAACCAGAGCATCACACCATTCCTGCTTACGTTCTAACTGCTTTGTTCTATATGGACAGTGGGGTAATGCCAGGTGACAAAACGTACAAATATAATCCTTCCTGTGACAGGCTACGTGTATGAATCCCTTCCTATGATGAATCATAGCTATGTATTTCCTTTTATGAAGGATTTATTTCCCTCCAGTTTCTGCTTGGTTTTGGTCACTGTATTCTGCTTTAAAATATTTTGTCTGAGTACATAATCATTATCTGCAGGAGAAGTAATTTAATGTTACTGCTTATCATGATCAGAAGTTGTATCACATTATGTTTTTTATTTTGCATCAGTGTTGCCATTGACACTTTAATCCATTGATTGATGTTTAACCCATTGATTACTTTAATCACCAATCAATCCATTGACTGATTTAATCCATTGATGTTGAATCCATAAGATTAAACAGCAAAGAAAATCCTGACATTTTCTGTGAAGGAGAGCAAGAGCTCATCGAAGTCTTCAAATAAAATTAAGTGTATAAGTAATCTCATTTCTTCTTTCTTTTATAGACAAGAGATGATTTCCTAGGTCAAGTGGATGTTCCTCTTTATCCATTACCGGTTGGTATAGGATCAGTGATTTTGTTCTTTATGTGTATTCTTTTTTCATTTAATATTTATATATACTAATAATGCAATTAGTTGATTTATAAAGTATATACTGTATTTCTTTTTTTTTCTACCTTTCTTTCTTTCTTCCTTTCTTTCTTTTGTCAGTCATAGAGCTTGAACTCATGGCCTGGGCACTGCCCCTGAACTCTTTTTGCTCAAGGCTAGTGCTCTACCACTTTGAATTACAGCACCACTTCTGGTTTTCTGATGGTTAATTGGAGATAAGAGTCTCACAGACTTTCCTGCTCAGACTGGCTTTGAACTGCAATTCTCCATCTCAGCCTCCTAAGTAGTTAGGATGGCAAGCAGTGTCCACCAGCATGCCTCACTTCTTGTACAGGAGAGGGAAAGCACTGTGAAATTACTAATTATGACCATTTAACAAACTAAAGCTGTTTTTTCCTTTGTCATATTTAATGTCAGTGATGCCTTAGGTCATAATTCATGAATATTCTTGAAAAGTACCTAACATTTTAATGTTACAGATATGTCTTGAAAACCTACTGTTTCATTCTAGACAGAAAATCCACGAATGGAGAGACCATATACATTTAAGGATTTTGTTCTTCACCCAAGAAGGTCAGTAATATAAAATTGAAGTATAATAAGGTATTTTTTGTTTTTGTTTTTGTTTTTTAGTCTCTTCACTAAGCATAACAATAGCTTCTTTGGAAAAGCAGGATTAAAACTCTTGTTAGTGAGCTACTCCTAAATATTATATTATTACATTTAAAAGTTTTATTGTTCTTTCTGGTACTTGTACATTGCACAAGGATTCTGAATGCACAGAAAAGTGATTGTGCCCGTGGAAAAGATTTGTCCTCCTGATATTTGCTAAATAGGTGACTGAACTTCTTCATTATCTTCTATTTGTTTTTGATATTATAGTCTAAGTAATGTTGTCATTCTATGATTCTATCCAACTTTACATAGACAAATTTAATTTCAGGAAAATATCTTAATTTTGACGTGTGTGTGTGTGTGTGTGTGTGTGTTTGTGTGTGTGTGCGCGCACGCACACACATACTCCAGTCTTGGAGCTTGAACTTAGGTCCTGCGTGATGTCTTTGAGCTTTTATGCTCAAGGCTATCACTCTACCACTTGAGCTACCACTCTATTTCTGGCTTTTTTGGCAGTTAATTGGAGCTAAGAGTCTTATGGACTTTCCTTCCCGTGCTAGCTTCAAACTGTGATCCTCAGATCACAGCCTCTTGTGGAGCTAGGATTGCAGACATGAGCCACCAATGCCCTGCTAATACTTCTGCTTATAATTTTTTTTTTAGAATACTCAGATAATTAGAGCAAGTAGCATGAATAAAGAATGGAATTTAAAACCCAAATAGCCTACTGATAATTCTATTTTTTCCTAAGCTGAATTATAAGAGTATCAAAGTTTTAAATTTCAGGCTGTAAATAAACTCCTTCCTCCTCTCTCCCCAATACTGAGGCTTTAATTTAGGTCCTTGTGCTTCTTTGGCTGGTGCTCTTACCACTTGAGCCAATCCTCCAGCAATAAAATTCCTTTTAATCTCTGTACCACGTAGTAAACTAATATCTAGTCAACATCTTTACTGGTGTAAAGGTCTAAGTCCAACAGATACATGACATCAGTGAAAATAGTATTTGCATTGTCTTCTATTCTAGAAAATGTATTAGGAAAATGTACTATGAGGATTTTACAGGATATTTTTTCCATTTAGAATTATTTCTGTTGGGCACCAGTGGATCACGCACTAGCTATTCAGGAGGCTAAGATCTGAGGATTGCTATTCAAAGCCAGCCCCAGCAAGGAAAGTCCAGGAAACTGTATCTCCAATTAAGCATCAGAAAACAGGAAATGGTGCTATGGCTCAAGTGGTAGAGCGCTGAAGAGGTCAGGGACAATGCCCAGCCCCAGAATTCAAGCCCTATAACCGACAAAAAATAATAATAATAATTTCTGAAAGCCAGTCACTGGTGGCTCACGCCTGTAATCTTAGCTATTCAGGAGACTAAGATCTGAGGATCATGGTTTGAAGCTACCCCAGGCAGAAAAGTCACCTTGAGACTCTTATCTCTGGTCAAAATGGTAGAGTGTTAACCTTGAGCAAAAGAGCTCAGGGACAGCATTGAGGCCTTGAGTTCAAAACCCATGACACAAAATAAACAAATAAAGCAAAAAAAAAAAAAAAAGACTTCTGCCAGGCATTGGTGGCTCACGCCTGTAATCCTAGCTACTCAGGAGGCTGAGATCTGAGGATCATGGTTCAAAGCCATGGCCAGCCTGGGCTGGCCATGAGACTCTTATCTCCAATAAACCACTCAGAAAACCAGAAGTGGCGCTGTGGTTCAAGTAATAGAGCACTAGCCTTGAGCTGAAGAGTAAAGGGACAGCGCCCAAGCCCCACAACCAAACAAAAAAAAGACTTCTAAGCAGAGCACTCACTCATAGTTCATGTCTGTAATTGTAGCTTATTTAGGAGGCTGAGATCTGAACATCTTGTCTAGAATTACCTCAGGTAAATCCCTCAGTGCTAGTAGGTGTTCAGTAAACTCACTTATTGTAATGCTTTTGTTTTTATTCAAGTTGTGTGAATAATTGTTTTCTTTTCTACAGTCATAAATCAAGGGTGAAAGGTTATCTGAGATTAAAAATGACTTATTTACCTAAAACCTGTGGCTCAGAAGAAGATAATGCTGAACAGGCAGAAGAATTAGAGGTGAGATGTTATAAATGTTTGGTAAAACTAAAAGAAAATGTCTAATTTGATATTTTACTGTACTCTGAAGAAAATGACTACCCAGTAAAATTAATTTATGAAATAAATATTATGAAATATTTATTGAATTAATAAATTAATTTATGAAATAAATATTATTTACCTGAACACGCACTCAAAATGCACTCAAGCATTTATTAATAATTATTTTCCTCTAAAAGAGTATTTCTGGAGAAACAATGATGTTAAAGATTAGCAAGTCTGCTGGGTGCTGGTAGCTCACACCTGTAATCCTAGCTACTCAGGAGGCTGAGATCTGAGGACTGTGTTTTTAAGCCAGCCCAGGCAAGAAAGTCTGTGAGACTCTTATGTCTAGTTAACCACCAAAAAGCCACAGTGGAATAGTGGCTAAAGGGATAAAGACCATCCTTGAGTAAAAAAGTTAAGGGACAGCACAGTGCCCACTCATGTTCAAGCCCCTGTACCAGTATGAGCGCATATGTGTACACACACACACACGCACACACGCACACACACACACACACACACACACACATTATAATCTTTGTGAGTAAAAGATAATAATGTTTAGGAACAAAAGCATTTCTTATAATGAAATCATTAACTTTCTCATCTACTTTTCCAAACCTATGTCATATTCTTTAAGAACACAATTATTGAATATTTGTCACTTGGACATTTTTAAAAAGAAACAACTAGGCTGGGATGTAGTTCAATGACAGAGTACTTGCCTAGCAGGTGTAATGTCCTGGGTTCAATCCCTAGCCCAAAAAAAAAAAAAAAAAAAAGACAACCAATAAGAAATTGTTTTATGACATGTAATTCTTTTTTTTCTTGCTTGAACTCAGGGCCTGGGCACTGTCGCTGAGCTTTTTTTTTTCAAGGCTAGGACTTGATGACTTGAGCCTCAGTACCACTTCCAGCTTTTTCTGTGTATGTGGTACTGAGGAATCAAACCCAGGGCTTCATGCATGCTAGGCCAGCACTCTACCACTAAGCCACCTTCCCAGCCCTCTGACATGCAGTTCTTATTCCTTTTCCTGTTTTGGTGAAGAGGGGCCTGACAAGAAGGGAGACGAGTAGATTTCAGGTTATTGATTTCGAGTAATCAAATAAAAACCCATGTTTATTTTGAAGCAAGTGGGATTTGTCCCAGTTCAAAGATGACAGCATAAAAGGAGAGGGAATTCTGGATGGAGATCTATCATGTGAGTGGATGTAGAGGTAGATTATGTACAAAGCCACTTCTGGCATTTTTTTTTTTTTGGCTGGTTAATTGGAGATAAGAGTCTCACACACTTCTCTGTCCCAGTAGGTTTCAAACTAACAATCCTCCAGTCCTCAGTCTCCTGAGTAGCTAGGATTACAAGGGTAAGCCACTGGTGCCTGGCTATTTTGAAAGTTGTTATTTTTTTCTCTTCTTTTTTTTTTTAGAAGAGATTTACTACCAAAGTTTCCCTGCCTGGCATGTTGGTAGCAAAGAGTGACTTGTATAATGGAATTCTGTTTGAAAGCCAGGATTTTGCTGTAAAGGAAGAAAATCCTTTAGTTAGTAACTTTAAAAAATTAAGAACATACCAGGGCCCTGGTATTAAGTACGTAGGTGTTTTTGTTTTTACAAAAGGCTCTAGGAATTCAAATACACAAATTTGTGCTTATTTATCTGTATAGTTAGTGACTAGAGAAATCTTGGTCTAGTCCTTTGACAGCTAGTTTGGGACTAAATATATCAACTTTACTGTTAGAAGAAAACAATTGTAATTCCAGATGAGGTGCACTCTTAGGTAGTTTGTCTTCCTTGGTAGTATGACTGCAACATATAATTAATTATTGAACATTTGATTTTTGTACTCTTTGTTACTTTAGGGATAGTTGGATGTGTTTTATAAGACTAGCATATAACATTTCTTATAGCTCTGAAGTCAATCTTACTCTATTAGACAATTGGATGTTAGCTTTAAGACTAGTAATTTGTTTATTATATTTTTATTTTTTGCTTTTTCTGCCGGTTCTGGGGCTTGAACTCAGGGTTTGGGCGCTGCCTCTGAGCATTTTTTGCTCAAGGCTATCTCTCTACCACTTGAGCCACAGTACCACTTCCAGCTTTTTTGAGTAGTTTACTGGAGATAAGAGTCTCACATGGGGCTGGGAAGGTGGCTCAGTGGTAGAGTGCTTGCTTTGCAGGCATGAGGCCCTGGGTTTAATTCCTCAGCACCACATAAGCAGAAAAAGCTGGAAGTGGCACTGTGGCTCAAGTGAAGAGCTGAGGGACAGCACCCAGGCCCAGAGTTCAGGCCCAATGACTGACTAAAAAAAAAGAGTCACACAGACTTTCCTGACCAGGCTGGCTTCAAACTGTGATCCTTAGCTTCAGATCTCAGCCTGTTGAGTAGCTCTGATTACAGGCATGAGCCATTGATGCCAGGCAATCTAGTAATTTAAGTAAAGGTCATTGATTCCTAGAAAATTATTTTATAGGCATAGAGGTATGGCTCAATTGGTAGAGTACCTGCCTAGTCAAAGCCCAGGATTCAATGCAGAGCGTGGGAAGGAGCAGATGAAGAGGGAGGAAGAGAGGGAGAGAAAGAGGGAGGGAGAGAGGAAAAGGGAGGAATTACTTTGTGGTCAATGTAGATAATTCATGTTTAATAAGGAAGAATTCTGTCTAAAAAAAAAAAAGAAGAGTGGGCTGGGAAGGTGGCTCAGTGGTAGAGTGCTTACATTGTATGCATGAGGCCCTGGGTTCGATTTCTCAGCACCACATAAGCAGAAAAAGACGGAAGTGGCACTGTGGCTCAAGTGGTAGAGCGCTAGCCTTGAGCTGAAGAGCAGAGGGACAGTACTCAGGCCCAGTGTTCAAGTCCCATGACTGACAAAAAATCCAGTTCAAGCACTTTTGAAACTCAAAGCAGGGAAATAAAATTTAAGTGTGTATGCAAGTCTGTAGGGTGCTAGATCCTATGTTGTCAAGGGAAAGGGGGAAAAAAAGAAGAAAGAGAAACATAGTAACAGTGACAAATTAAGTGGAAAGGAAGAAAATAGAGTTTGGAGAAAATTGACATTTTTGAGAGGTTGAATCTTCCTAAGATCCTGTTTTGTCTTTCCATTCATTACTGTCTGGGACCAAAACTTCTAGAATTCATCTTAAATTTTCCTTCACATAGGATATGTGGAAATTTCTAAAAATCAAGCACTAGTGGCTCACACCTGTAATCCTAGCTACTGGGGAGACTGAGATCTGAGGATCACAGTTCAAAGCCAGCCTGAGCTGGAAAGTCCATGAGACTCTTATCTCCAATTAACCAGCATAAAGCCAGAAGTATGGAGGTGTAATTTACATGGGAGAACACCAGCCTTGAGCAAAAATACTAAACAATAGCAACCAGTTCCTGAGTTCAATCTAGCATAAAGTTAATTGTTCCTACTAGCTGGGCACTGGTGACTCACACCTGTAATCCCAGCTACTCAGAAAGCTAAGATCTGATCTGAGGATCAGGGTTCAAAGCCAGCCTGGGCAGAAAAGTCCATAAGCCTCTTATCTCCAACTAGAAAACCCAAAGTGGTGCTGTGGCTTAAAGTGGTAGAGTGCTTGCCTACCCAGGCCCAGAATTCAAGCCCCATGACCAACCAACAATAACAACAAAGATAATTGTTCCTATTCTGTTTTGCAGCCTGGCTGGGTTGTTTTGGACCAACCAGACGCTGTCTGCCATTTGCAGCAGCAGCAAGAACCTTCTCCTCTTCCCCCAGGATGGGAAGAGCGGCAGGACGTCCTTGGAAGGACCTACTATGTAAACCATGCATCGCGAAGAACACAGTGGAAAAGACCAACCCCACAGTATGTGCCACTGAAAGGCTTTCACGTCACTGATAGAATTTTTTTTTCTATTCTTTTTGGTGGTACTGGGTTAATACTCAGGACCTGCCACTTCAGCCATGCCCCTATTCCTTTTTTTTTTTTTTTTTTTGCTCTTGTTTGTTCAGCCTCTCACAGAGGTGGTATCACAGACACAGAACTCCATGCCCACCTGGTTTATCGGGATGGGGCTCCCTGTTGTGATGCCCTACCTCCTAAGTAGCTGGGATTACAGGCGTGAACCACCACATCCAGCCCTCTGTGTACATTTTGACCATTCATTTTCTTTTTTGAAGTCATGTCTGAAATGAATGAATTCATAGTAGTGTAAGGATCCATCAACTGTAAAAAAGACCAAGAGTTTTGTGACCCAAGTCTTAAAAGCACTAGTTCAGCTGGGCACCGGTAATTCCAGCTGTAATTCCAGCTACCCAGGAGGCCAAGATCTGAGGATTGCAGTTCAAAGCAGCCTGGGCAGGAAAGTTCATGAGACTCTTAATCTCTAGTAAACTGTCAAATGGCTGGGAATGTGGCTTAGAGGTAGAAAGCTTGCCTAGCATGCATGAAGCCACATAAAACAGAAAAAGCTAGAAGTGGCACTGTGGCTCGAGTGGTAGAGTGCTAGCCTTGAACAAAAAGAAGCTGAGGGACAGCACCCAGGCCCTGAATTCAAGCCCCAGGACTGACACTAAAATCTATCACAGCTGTTTCTTTTTTTGGGGGGGGGGGGGAGGGTCCAGTCGTGGGGCCTGAACTCTGGGCCTGAGCGCTGTCCCTTAGCTCTTCAGCTCAAGGCTAGCGCTCTACCACTTGAGCCACAGCGCCACTTCCGGCTTTTTTCTTTTTGCTTATTTGGTGCTGAGGAATCGAACCCAGGGCCTCAGGCATGCAAGGCAAGCGCTCTACCACTGAGGCAACTTCCCAGCCCAGCTGTTTCATTTTTTAAAGTGTGTGTATATGTGTGTCTGGGTGTGTCTTAGGGAAGGAACACCAAGGCACAATACCTATGTGCCTTTGATCATGTACAATAATATTTGTCAGAATGAACTCCGGGAAATGAAAATAAATATATGTACATATAGTTTATATATGTGTGTGGTTTGTTTAGATAGATAGTTAGTGTATACATGATTGCAGGAAGTGCAGCTGTAGCTCAGGTGGTCATGAACCAGCGCTGAATGAAAAAGCCAAATAACACTACCTTACTATGTAACTGTAACCCTTCTGTACATCAATTTGAGAATAAAAAAAAAAAAAGCCAAATAAGAACATGAGATCCTAGTGTCAAGCTCCAGTACTGACACAAAAACAAAGAAAAAAAAAGATAATATGCTAGATTTCTGATTTGGTTATTACACATGTATACATGTAGCCAAATATGATATAGTTCCCCAGAAGACAATTATACAATTATTAAGTGTCAACTTAACACTGATGTGAAAACGAAGGCCAGGCATCAGTCAGTTCATGTCTGTAATTCTAGCTCCTCAGGAGGCTGAGATCAGACGATCCTTGTTCTTAACTAGTCACAGGCAGAAAGGTATATAAGACCTTACCTCCAATTAACTAGCAAAAAGCTGGACATGTAGTAGAGCCCCAGCCCTGAGCAAGAAAGTCGAATTGAGACTATGAGGCCCAGTCCTGACAAAACTGAATAGAAGAGAAAATAGAATATCAGATGTGTTACAGGTTTCATAAAAGGTATCCCACAGGTGCCCACATGTCCACAGTACATGAAACAGAAAAGCAACCACTGGTGATTGAAGGGCTGTTAGGCGTTTTTTAAATGATCCCAAAGTCTTTGACTCTCGTTTTAACCATTTCAAGGTACACCTGATGACTCAGATTCCTTCCAAAACAGGGATGACCTAACAGAGGCTGAGGGTGGGGACATGGAGCTGCAAGCACAGCGCGCGTTCACCACTCGGAGGCAGATCTCTGAGGAAGCAGAAGCCATGGATCCCCGGGATGCCTCTGAGGTACAGCTGCTCATGGTTCTCCTGGATAGGGATTTGCTGCCTTCCTCAGTCAGAACTGTGTAAGTTCTCCCTGCATTGGTAGCTAACACCTATTAGAATCCCAGCTACTCTGGAGGATGAGGCTGAGGATTGCCGTTCAAAGCCACTGGTGGCTCACGCCTGTCATCCTAACTACTCAAGAGGCTGAGATCTGAGCAGATCACAGTTCAAAGCCAACCCAGGCAAGAAAGTCCATGAGACTCTTATCTCCAGTGAACCCCCACTTTACCACTTCAGAGTGGTAAAGCGCTAGCCCTGAGCAAAATGCCAAGTGATAGCACCAGCCCCTGAGTTCAAGCCCCAGTGCCGAAATACACATAACTCAGGTTGCTTCTGTTCATTTTAGACCTGGGAAGTGATAAGAGAAGACGAAGCCGCCATGTACAGTGGTCAGTCTTTCCCATCACCAGCGACATCGAGTAACGTGGACATGCATCCTCACCTTGCAGAAGAATTAAATGCTAGACTCACCATGTGTGGTGATTCGGCCACTAGCCAGCTCATGTCCAGCTCAGTAAGATGCTTTTCGATTCTTTTACAGCTTTGGGGTTTTATATGATGAGTATTCCACTCGACAACGAATATTTTACATGAAGGTCTTGTCTTTAGTGGCATGCAGTGATAATGTGCTTTGCATTATGGTAGTTTTTCCATCTACCCTTGGCAGATAGATCAGGTGGTACCTGGAGTCTCAAGCATATTCATGTCCTCTGGTCAAAAATATTCATACTAGGCAGTGCTAGTGGCTCATGCCTGTCATCCTAACTACTCAGGAGGCTCTGAAGATTGTGGTTCTAAGCCAGCCCAGGCAGAAAAGTCTGTGAGACTCTTATCTCTACTTAGCTACCAGAAAAGCCAGAAGTAGAGCTGTGGCTCAAGGGGTAGAGTGCTAACTTTGAGCAAAAAAAAGCTTAGAGACAGCACCCAGACCCTGAGGTTAAGCCCCCAGACCAACACACGCGCACACACACACACACACACACACACACACACACACACACACACACACACGAGCACAAAAAGCTGGAAGTAGAGCTGTGGCTCAAGTGGTAGAGTGCCAGCCCCAATACTGTCACAGAAAAATTGTTAAAAAAAAAATAACAGGGGCTGGGAAGATGGCTCAGTGGTAGAGCGCTTGCTTTGCATGCTTGAGGCCATGGGTTCGATTCCTCAGCACCACGTAAGCAAAAAGCCAGATGTGGCGCTGTGGCTCAAGTGGTAGAGCTCTAGCCTTGAGCTGAAGAGCTGAGGGACAGCGGCCAGACCCAGAGTTCAGGGCCACGACTGGACTCAAAAAAAAAAAAAAAAAAAAAAAAAAAATAACATAGCCGGGCGTCGGTGGCTCACACCTGTAATCCTAGCTACTCAAGAGGCTGAGATCTGAGGATCACGGTTCAAAGCCAGCCTGGGCAGGAAAGTCTGTGAGACGCTTATCTCCAATAAACCACTAGAAAAAAAACCCAGAAGTTGTACTGTGGCTCAAGCGGTAGAGCACTCGCCTTGAGTTGAAGAGTGCAGGGACAGCACCCAAGCCCAGAGTTCAAGCCCCAGGACCGACAAAAAATAAATAAATAAATAAATAACATATAGCATCTAAATAGCATACTACAAAGCAGCCATTGAAAATAGTGAGGCAGGGCCGGGAAGGTGGCTTAGTGGTAGAGTGCTTGCCTTGCATGCCTGAGGCCCTGGGTTCGATTCCTCAGCACCACATAAGCAAAAAGAAAAAAAAAGAAAATAGTGAGGCAGCTTTGAGTGTGTGCTATGGAAATCAACCTCTAATAGATGTTGACAAATGAAATATAGTAAAGAATTGTACAGAATGATTTTTTTGCATATTCCATATAAATATATATATTATTTAAATGACAAAGATTAAATATGCATATGACATTTCTTGAAGATAGAAAGGAACTGGTACTTGTTCAGAGAGAAAATCCGAGGGGCAGATTTATCCTTTGTATCTTTTGAATTGATTCCCAACTATTGTTAAAAAAAAAGTCAACTTCGGGCTGGGAAGGTGGCTCAGTGGTAGAGCGCTTGCCTTGCATGCATGAGGCCCTGGGTTCGATTCCTCAGCACCACATAAGCAAGAAAGAAAAAAAGCCAGAAGTGGCGCTGTGGCTCAAGTGGTAGAGCGCTAGCCTTGAGCTGAAGAGCTGAGGGACAGCGTCCAGGCCCAGAGTTCAGGCCCACCACCGGACCCCAAAAAAAAAAAAAAGTCAACTTCTACTGAGCACTACTGGTAGCTCCCATCTGTAATCTCAGCTACTCAAGCAACTGAGATCTAAGGATTGTAGTTCAAAGCCAGCCCAGGCAGGAAAGTCTGTGAGACTCTTATCTCCAATAGACTACAACAAAAGCTAGATGTGGAACTGTGGCTCAAGTGGAGGAGCACTAGCCTTGAACAAAAGAGGCTCAGGGACCCAGGCCCTGAGTTCAAGTCCTAGAATCACCAGAAAAAAAAAAGTCAACCTCTGCTCTTTTGGAGACAAGTTTTACTTTTTCTACCCATGCTGACTTTGAACTTGTGATCCTCCTGCTTCAGCCTCCCAAATCAAACCAGGGATTACAATCATGCATATCATGTCAGAAGCTCAGAAACAACTCTTATTTATCTGTCTATTTATTTTGTTCATTTATTGAGGTAGTAGGGGTTGAACTTAGGTCTTCATGCTTCTTAACAGGCACTCTACCACTTGTGCCTGCCCTTGTTCTATTGGTTATTTTAGAGATAAGTTCTTGCTTTATACTCAGGCTTATCTTGGCTAGTTTTCTTTTTTCTTTTCTGTGTGTGTGTGTGTGTGTGTGTGTGTGTGTGTGTGTGTGTGTGTGTGTGTGTGTGTGTGTGTCTCACTCATGGTGTTTGAATTCTGGGGCCTGGTTTTCTTTTCTGTGTGTGTGTGTGTGTGTGTGTGTGTGTGTGTGTGTGTGTGTGTGTGTGTGTGTGTGTGTGTGTGTGTGTGTGTGTGTGTCTCACTCATGGTGTTTGAATTCTGGGGCCTGGGCGCTGTCCCTCAGCTCTTCAGCTTCAGGCTCTACCACTTGAGCCACATGCCACTTCTGGTTTTCTGGTGGTTTATTGGAGATAAGAGACTCATGGAGTTTCCTGCCCAGGCTGGCTTTGAACTGTGATCCTCAGATCTCAGCCTCCTGAGTAGCTAGGATTACAGGCGTGACCCATCTGCACCCGGCTGGCTACAGTTTTCTTAACTAAGTTCTTCCACATGGCTTGGAGTATAACAGGTCAACACCCACTGCCCCTTCATTGTTTGATTTAGGGTCTCACAAACTTTTTGTTGCTTGTTCGGTCCTGGAGCCACAATGTTCTAATCTCTCAAGGAGGTACGATTATAGCCTTGTGCTACAGCACCTAGAGGGCAATAAAGTTTCTTGTTTCAGCAGGCCCTGTTCTATTTTCATACATGCATATAAAGCACTTCTACCATATTCACCCGCATTCACCCTCCCCATGAAACCCTCACTCTCCAGATACCCAGTCCTCCCAACAGAGCCTGTTTTGCATTCGTTTTCAAATCAAAAGTAGTCATCAAAGTCTTGACGTTGCAAAGTCTTGACGTTGTCCAAGTCATCCTTCAGATATTTGGGCCCCAGTCTCCTATAGAGACAGACTTTTCAATTGTTTACAATTCTCAGCTACTTCAAATGATCCTACAGTAGATATTTTGACTTAATTTATGTGAGTGCATGGTAAATGTTGATGTCACTTAATAACAAAGCTAAGGTATTTCTGATCACGGAAACAGGATTTCAGATAGTGTGGCAACAGCAGGTACACAAAGGCAAAAGGAAAGGAAGAACATAGGATTTCCAGGAAATAAGTGATCTGGGTGGAATGTCCAGCTATCGCCGTAAAACAGGAAGTAGCCAAAGAGATCAGGAAGGGGCGTGGCCTGGAACTCAGGAAGTTGGGGGCGGGGCCTAGAGCTGAGGAACTATTGTATGTTGTGTCCTGATTTCATTTAGTGTCTGTCTCCCTCCCCCGGAAGGATGTCAACCAGAGTATGACAGGTCAAGATCTGTCACACAAGGCTCTCTGGCTGCGTCCTACAGCATGTGCCTAAGGAAATGAGATTTTAATTCATTGGGGAAACTGACTCGGACCTTGCTGCTGTTAATCATCAAGATGACAATGAAAACTTGAATCTTCTTTTTTTAATTTTGTAAAAAGTACTACTTGTATTAAAATGGAAAAAAAAAAAAGTTGAATGTGTTGGAGAGCTAGTTCGGAGAGACTGAATAGAAAGAAATGGGTGTGGCTGGGAGGGAAAACCCATGTGTAGAATGTAGACAGCTGGGGATTGGATGTTCAGGACTAAATGAGCAGGAGGCAGTGAGGCCCTGGGATAGAAAGCAGGGCTGGGTAGCGCTGGAGTTTGGGGAGAAGGGGGGACGACGTTGCAGGCTGTACTGACAGGCTGATCCCCATCTATCACCGCAACTTTAACCTGCTACCTTTCAGCCCCCATTAACGCCCCCTACTACCTCATCTGCCATTTAAAAACAGACTTAACAGTGTTATTTCCTTTTCTTTGCTTTTTTTTTTTTTTTACAAGAATCATTCCAGCAGAAGAGGCAGTTTACAAGCCTATACTTTTGAGGAACAGCCTACACTTCCTGTGGTAAGTTTTGAATAATCCTCTTCCCTAGTCATCCATAAAAATACAACTTAACTTCGCATCTTTTAATTTGTGTATATGCGTGCATGCTCTCACATGTGTGCTCGCACGCATGCACGCTCTCACACACACACGTATAGGTACTAGAGCTTGAATTCAGGGTCTGGGTCTTTGAGCTTTTCCACTCAAGGATGGCAGTCTACCACTGAGCAAGAGCTCCACTTCAGATGATTTATTGGAAATAGTCTCATGGACTTTTCTGCCCGGGCAGAAAATCCTCAGATCTCAACCTCTTGAGTAGCTAGGATAATAGACATGAGCCACTCCAAGAGATTGTTATCTCCAGTTAACCAGCAAAAAGCTGGACTGGACAGGCACCCGTGGCTCACACCTCTAATCCCAGCTAAGAAGTTAGCTCAGTGGTAGAGTGCTTGCCTTGCATGCATGAGGCCCTGGGTTCCAGACCTCAGCACTACATAAGCAGAAAAGGTGGCACTGTGGCTCAAATGGTAGAGTGCTAGCCTTAAGCTGATGAGCTGAGGGATAGCGCCCAGGCCCAGAGTTCAGGCCCCATGACAGACCAAAAAAAAAAAAAAATAAAGCTCAGGGATAGCACTCAGGTCCTGAGTTCAAGTCTACAATTTACTAAAAAAGCTGGACTCGAGACATGGATCAAGTGATAGAGTACCAGCTGTGAGCAAGAAAGCTGAGCAGCAGCAAGAGGCCCAAGTTCAAGCACTGGTACTAGCAAATTTGAGAACATTTATGTGTTGATTAAAAGACATGATCTGTCATACAGCACCTAGTGTTTCGCCACAGACACCATTTCTTATTATTTTATCTCCTCATTCTTGTCTCGTGATTTTTGCCCCCAAGTGAAAGCCTGAACACTTCATTCTGTATTCTTTGCAAGGTAACCTAAAGTAGCATTCATGGTACTAAATTAAAATGTACCATTTGTCTACGTTTCTAACTGTTATAGACAGTTTTAGTTCCCCATAAAATGAAACATGGCTCAACTTTAGAGAGCATGTGGCCCTTCTTACTTCATTTCTCCTCCACATGTAATTCTGGTGTTTTATACTTCAGCTTCTGCCTACATCATTCGGATTGCCACCCGGGTGGGAAGAAAAACAAGATGAAAGAGGAAGATCGTATTACGTCGATCACAATTCTAGAACCACCACTTGGGCAAAACCCTCCACACAGGTACCCGTGCCTCCCTGCATGTTAACTTCTTTCCCTTCCTTATTTCTTGGGTTTGTTTTTGTTTTTCCAGTTCCATATCTTGAAATTAGGGCATTGTACTCTTGCTTGATTGCTTGTTCCTGACAGCGCTCTGCTCTTTGAACCACACCTTTAGTCCAGCTTGTTGCTGGTAAATTGGAGATGAGAGTCTCACGGGTTGGGCTGGCTCTGAATCTTGATCCTCTAGCGCTCAGTCTCTTGAGGGGTGGAGATGACAGAGATGAGCCACCATCCCTGGTTTAACTTGTTTCCCTGTTTCCTTTCTGTATAAGCTGTTTCCTTACTTTCCGTTTATTCTGCATACTTTTTGTCCTTCTTCTATGAAAGTTACCATTTGTTATTTTAAAAGTTTCAAATGAGACTGACAAGACCTAGTAAGACATTGGATGATTTTGTAATTTGAAAGGTTAAGATCTTTTTTGTGTGTGAGTATGCTAAAAGATCATGTTAGTGATTAATGTATAATAAGATAGGATCTGTCTAACCTTTTTGCTGCCTGGCCTTGAACTGTGATCCTCCCACTTTCTGCCTCCCAAGTAGTTGGGCTTACAGGCATGCAGTACTATGCTCAGGTCAATTATCCATTCCTATACTGGATATTTGTCATTCTTTTTTCTTTTTTTTTTGTTGGCCGTGGGACTTGAACTCTGGGCCTGGGCACTGTCCCTCAGCTCTTCAGCTCAAGGCGAGCGCTCTACCACTTGAGCTACAGCGCCACTTCCGGTTTTCTGGTGGTTTTATTGGAGATAGGAGTCTCAGGGTCTCTCCTGCCCGGGCTGGCTTTGAACTGCGATTCTCAGATCTCAGCCTCCTGAGTAGCTAGGATTACAGGCATGAGCCACCAGCGCCCGGCTTCTTTTTTCTACCAATATTTGAAGCCACTTACTATGGTCAATCTATGAGTCTCCTGGAGCAAAGCTGGCCTTCTTCTCTGGAAACTGTGTTTTCTGTAGACATATGTATCAAGAAGCCATGCCTCCACGGCTGGGAATGTGGCTTAGTGGTAGAGTGCTTGCTTAGCATGCATGAAGCCCTGGGTTTGATTCCCCAGTACCATATACACAGAAAAAGCCAGAAGTGGCACTGTGGTTCAGGTGGTAGGGTGGTACTTGAACAAAGAAAGAAGCTTAGGGACAAGTGCCCAGGCCCTGAGTTCAAGCCCAGGACTGACAAAAATAAATAAATAAAAACAAAGTTTTTATTTATGCTCCATTGGGAAAAAAAATTTAAGGAACAAAGTCATAAAAATGTTAGGGAAAATATGAGCTGAGGGACAGCGCCCAGGTCCAGAGTTCAAGCCCCATGACCGACAAAAAAAAAACAAAACAGGGTAAAATTAAAATTATGTCATAACTTCATTTGAAAAATGATCCTCAAGTATTGAGGACCTATTTGCAAGTGTATATTCTGTGTGTGTGTGTTAAGCTATCTTTGTAACTAGGGCTATTTGCAAGTACTCTATAAAATTATACAGTGTGGTCAGGCATGTGCCTGTAATCCTACCTCCTCAGGAGACTGAGACCTAAGGATTGTGGTTCAAAGCCAACCTGTCCAGAAAAAGTCCATGAGACTCTTATCTCTACTTCCAAAAAAAAGCACAGAAGTGGAGCTGTGGTTCAAGTGGTAGAGTGCTAGCTTTGAGCAAAAAAGCTCACAGACTGGGACAGTGCCTAGACACTGAGTTTAAGCCTCAGAACTAGTGCGTGCGTGCGTGCACACACACACACACACACACACAAAATTTGTTGTTGTTTTTAACCATGTGACTTAATTGATACACTAGCCCACCATGGACACCAGTCAGCTGCCATCGGGCCAGAGCTCAGCAGGCCCTCGGCCGCTGCTTCCCGCCAGTGACCCAGCGTTGCAGGTGACACAGCCATCTGAAATTGAACAAGGATTCCTTCCTAAAGGCTGGGAGGTCCGCCATGCACCAAATGGAAGGCCCTTCTTCATTGACCACAACACCAAAACCACCACCTGGGTAACTTAATTCCCCGCCTGCAATGTTTTCACAGCCCACACTGACAGATTGCCCCTTTTCATCTTTAATGCTATTTCTTGTTCAGCACTGGGGATTGGAACCTAGGGCCCAGCAAGTCCTCTGCCTACTACTTGAGCTATGTCCTCTCGCTCCCCTCACCCACACACAGCCATTCTGAGGTAGTAGTGCTTGAGTTGAAACTCAGGCCTTCATACTTGCGAGGTAGGTGCTCTACCACTTGAGCCATGCCTCTCCTTTCCTTCTAATCTTTAAAGGATATTGGAAAACATGTTGAATTCTTAATATTTGCTACTCAAGATACAAGTTCTGCCTTTTTTTAACCATCATCTTGGAGATATTCATATGTATTTCCTATTTCTCATTTTCTAGTGACAGATTTTAGGAGAAATTATTATGTCATGTATTAAGGAAATGAAGTATACATGAATTTTAAGACACATTTTTTTTTTTTTTAGGATGTCATTAGGACTTGAAATCAGAGCCTTTTCGCTCAGAGCTGATGCTCTACCATTTGAGGCACAGCTCCACTTTTGGCTTTTTGTTGGTTAATTAAAGATAAGAGTCTTATGGACTCTCCCGCCAGGGCTGGCTTTGAACTGTGATCCTCAGATCTCATCCTGCTGAGTAGTAAGGTTTACAGGCGTGAGTCACATAGCTAAAAAAATATTTTAAATACACTTTGATATTAGAAAACCTTGAGCATATCTGGGGCTGGGAAGGTGGCTCAGTGGTAGAGCGCTTGCCTTGCATGCCTGAGGCCCTGGGTTCGATTCCTTAACACCACATAGGCAAAAAGAAAAAAGCCACAAGTGGCGTTGTGGCTCAAGTGGTAGAGCGCTCGCCTTGAGCTGAAGAGCAGAGGGACAGCGCCCAGGCCCAGAGTTCAGGCCCCACGACCGGACCAAAAAAAAAAAAACCTTGAGCATATTGATTTGCATTCCTTTGTGTGTATATGATATTCTATTCTTAATTTTTTTTTTTTTTTTGTTAACTGAACCAAAAAAAGGAAGATCCAAGATTGAAAATCCCGGCTCATCTGAGAGGAAAATCTTCACTGGACCCACCTAAGGATCTAGGACCTTTACCTGTAAGTGCACAGAGCTGTTCCCAGTCCACCATGACTATCTCAGACATTTCCTACTCTGGGAATTCAGTACTTCTTTAACAGCTATAATTCATATTGTTAAACTATCCATGCCTTCTACCAAGAAGGCAAATTCAACCAATTAAAGGAGCCCTAACTAATGTTACTTTTTTTTTCTTCTGGACCTCTAAAACTCTGTCCTAAAAATAATTGAAATATATTTGTCATTCTAGCCAGGATGGGAAGAAAGAACCCACACAGATGGAAGGATCTTCTACATAAATCACAGTATGTTTCTATGACTTTGTTTCTTTTTAGTCAGTTGTGGGGCTTGAATTCAAGTCCTGGGGGGCTGGGAAGGTGGCTCAGTGGTAAAGTGCTTGCCTTGCATGCATGAAGCCCTGGGTTCGATTCCTCAGCACCATGGTAGTAGAAAAAGCCAGAAGTGGCGCTGTGGCTCAAGTGGTAGAGCACTAGCCTTGAGCTGAAGAGCTGAGGGACAGCGCCCAGGCCCAGAGTTCAAGCCCCATGATCGACCAAAAAAAAAAAGAATGAATTCAAGTCCTGGTTGCTGTCCCTCACTTTAAGCCATAGCTCCACTTCTGGTTTTCTGGTGATTAATTGGAGATGAGAGGCTCATGGACTTTTCCTGCCTGGGCTGGCTTTGAACCATGATTCTCAGATCTCAGTATCCTGAGTAGGTAGGATTATAGGCATGAACCACCAGCATCCAGCTTTTATGACTTTTTTTTTTTTTGCGGTCATGGGGCTTGACCTCTGGGGCCTAGGTGCTGTCCCTGAACAATTCAGCTCAAGGCTAGTGCTCTACCACTGAGCCACAGCACCACTTTGGGCTGTTTTTGCTTATGTGGTGCTGAGGAATGGAATCCAGGGCCTCATACATGGGAGGCAAGCACTCTACCACTGCCCTTTATGACATTATTTTTTGTGTTATAAAACTTTGCATGTGAGAAAGCATGACTTGCTTGTTTGTTTTTCTTCCTTTCAGATATAAAAAGAACCCAGTGGGAAGACCCTCGCTTGGAGCATGTCGCAATTACTGGACCAGTAAGTTTGTCTGGGTCAGTGCCCTTCGCTGGCATTGCCCTGTCCTGTCGGTCCTGTTCAGATGCGAACACTCAATGGCACTGAGTGGAAGGCACGCTGGGCCATCTCCTCTCTCTCCCCTGCCCTTCTCCCCGCCCCAGTTACTTGATAAGACAACAGGAAGTCATCCTCCATCATCCTTACCATCCCCCGAACCATGGGTGATTAGTGAACCATGCTGTCCAAATTTTGGGCCAGTGGCCTGGTGAGCTATCTCAGGCTGATCCCTGCTACCCTGCAGGGGAGGGGAGAGGGCAATGCCGAGACTCCTGAACATACAGGAAAGGAGGTAAGATTGTATCCAGATGAGGAAGCAACACCATGCTATCAGTCACCGGCGAACATTCTAGAAGCAACCCTTGGAAAGGCCTATTGCATTAAGCACCACCATGTTGAAATGTAATGATTATCATAGTAGGATGGTTATGTTACTTCTGAGTCAAGTTAATGATAGGAAAATCTTTTTTCCTCTCTTCTATAAGTAATTTGTCCCATTTTTTAAAAATGTGGATTTTTGTTTTCTAATTCACAAAAGAAAATGGAATAAAATTAAGGTGGGCACCAGTGGTGTATACCTGTAATCCTAGCTATTTATGAAGCTGAAACCTGAGAGTCATCGTTTAAAACCAGCCCAGGCAGAAAAGCCCATGAGACTCTTTATCTCCAGTTAACCACTAGAAAGCTAGAAGTGGTGTTATGGCTCAAGTGGAAGAGCACAAGCTTTGACTGAAAAACCTCAGGGACAATGGTCAGGCCCTGAGTTCAAGCCCCACAACTAGCACACACAAAAAAATAATAATAAAATTGAGCACATGTTATTTTTTTTGAAGACTTCTACATTTCTCAGTGGGTAGTCTCTGAAAATGGTAGATTAAAAAAAAGTAACTCCTAGGAGTTCAAGGGAAAAAGTGCATTTTTCAAATTGTTCCTTTAATGGAGGAATTACTTTGAAAGACTTTTATAGTAATGGAAATTTTTATTTCTAATATTTCTCTACTTGGAAGAAATGTCCTGTTTCTGGCATGTCACATTTCAAAACGATTATATGATGAAAGTTACAGCCAGAGGAATTTCTGAGTACAATTTGGTCTTAAATGGAGAAATTATTTTTAAAAATTAAAATTTTATTATATTTGTTTAATTTCAAAAGAAACTTTTAGTTTCCAAATAATTCTCTTTTTAGTGTTTTTAACTTACATTCATAAAATACCTACAGGGAAACTTCTAAAGTACTTCCAGAATCCGAGTAATCTAAACCTTATTTATTCAACCACAGGCAGTGCCTTACTCCAGAGATTACAAAAGAAAGTATGAATTCTTCCGAAGAAAGTTGAAGAAGCAGGTTAGTGATATTTGTAATAAAAATTAAGGATGATCATTATATCCACAGGAAGTTAAAGATGACTTTTCAGCCAGGTGCTGGTGGCTCGTGTCTGTGATCCTAGCTATTCAGGAGGCTCAGATCTGAGGATCCTGGTTTGAATCCAGCCCAGGCTCAAGTGGTAGAGTCCTAACCTTGGGGGAAAATAGCTAAGGGAAAGTGGGAGGCCCTTAGTTCAAGTGCTAATACTGGTGCGTATGCACACACGCACGCACGCACTCATGAATGGAGCTTTTAACAGATGGTCCTCCATATGTATATTCAGTGTGTTCGGTACACCTTCCCCAGCACCACAACTTCAGTCTGCTTGAGGTGGAATAGGTCATTCACTCATCTCTTTGGTTTCTGTTGGTCTTGACCAACATTTTCAATGCCTTCCTCCTCTGCTCATTTTCTGGCCCTCCCTCCTTGCAGTTTAGGGACTCTACCACTAGGTGGCCGCATTGGGTTACACTTCCTTAGGTTCTGAACCTAAGGACTGCTTTTCCAAGGATTCAAGATGGCAAGTCAGATACCCTTTTTTTTTTTTATCCAAAATTTAAACAAAATGAAACACAGTCATTTTTTAAAAATTCACATTGTTGATGCTCTAATAAAATCCTTATATACTTTTCTGAAAGAGTGAGTGCATCGGGGCTGGGAAGGTAGCTCAGTGGTAGAGTGCTTGCCTTGCATGCATGAGGCCCTGGTTCGATTCCTCAGCACCACATAAGCAGAAAAAGCTGGAAGTGGCGCTGTGGCTCAAGTGGTAGAGCGCTAGCTAGCCTTGAGCTGAAGAGCTGAGGGACAGTGCCCAGGCCCCCACAACCGACAAAAACCAAACGAAACAAAAAAATGCATGAATGCATCAACTAGATGCTGGCAATTCATGCCTATAATCCTAACTACTCAAGGGCTGGTATCTGAGGATTGAAGTTCAAAGCCAGCCTGGATAGACACAACCAAGAGACTCATAGCCCCAGTTAACCGCTTGAAAAGCCAGAAGTGAAGCAGAGGCTCAAAAGCAGTAGAGCCCTATCGTTGAGCACAACAACCAAAAACTAAAGGGGAAAAAAGGTGGTGAAAAAGTGTAGCAGTGAAGCTCACTGGACATTGATGAATGTGAACTACACAACACGTAGTAGAGACGGGAAGGAGGGACTAGGAGAGAGTGAAGGAAGAGAAGGCATTCCATGGAAATGTACTCACGACCTAACTCATGTCATTGTAATCTCTCTGTACACCAGCTCTAAATAACAGTAAACTATTTTCTTTAAACGTAAGGAATAGCATCTAGGCCCTGAGTTCAAGCCCTAGTTCTAGCGCGCGCGCGCACACACACACACACACACACACACACACACACACACACACACAATAAAGAGAGAGAACAAGAGACGAGGGTAGAGGAGGATGCTCAGCGCATGTCAGGACTTCCCTGATAAACTTGTTTACGCTAACTTGATTGAAGGTCTGGGTCCCTCTTTTCCTGACTCTGCAGAATGACATTCCAAACAAATTTGAAATGAAGCTTCGCCGAACGACTGTTCTAGAAGAGTCCTACCGGAGAGTGATGAGTGTCAAGAGAACCGACCTCCTCAAGGCTCGGCTTTGGATCGAGTTTGATGGTGAAAAGGGCTTAGACTACGGAGGAGTGGCCAGAGAATGGTTCTTCCTCATCTCAAAGGAAATGTTTAACCCCTACTATGGGTTGTTTGAATACTCTGCTACGTAAGTACCTTTTCTTACTTTCTGAGATAAGAGTTTTGCTAAGTAGCCCCGGCTGGCCTTGAACTCACAGTCCTTCTCTTGAGTGCTGGGATTACACATACCTGCTACCATATCCCAAGTTGGGGTTTTTGTTGTTGTTGTTGTTGTTTGTTTGTTTGTTTTGAGATAGGGTCTTTAGACTAAGTGAGACTCTTATCTCCCAATTAATCACGGAAAAATGGCACTGTGTCTCAAAGTGGTAGGCCACTAGCCTTGAACAAAAGAGCTCGGGGGGGCTGGGAAGATGGCTCAGTGGTAGAGCGCTTGCCTTGCATGCCTGAGGCCCTGGGTTCGATTCCTCAGCACCACATAAGCAAAATGAAAAAAAAAAAAAAAAGCCAGAAGTGGCGCTGTGGCTCAAGTGGTAGAGCGCTAGCCTTGAGCTGAAGAGCTGAGGGACAGCGCCCAGGCCCAGAGTTCAGGCCCTATGACTGGACCCCCCAAAAAAAAAAAAAAAAAGAGCTCAGGGACAGTCACCCAGGCCTAGAGTCCAAGCCCCATGACCTACAAAAAAAAATGATAGATAGATAAATAGATAGATGGATAGATAGATAGATAGATAGGTGATAGATAGATAGATAGATAGATGTTCCCAAGTTGTACTTCAATGTTGTTGTCTTTACAGGGATAATTACACCCTACAGATAAACCCCAATTCTGGCCTGTGTAATGAAGATCACCTCTCTTACTTCAAGTTCATCGGTCGAGTCGCTGGCATGGCTGTTTATCATGGCAAACTCTTGGATGGTGAGTGTCAAACTGTAAAAGGTTTCCGATGTCAGTCATGGTCTGTGTCCTCTCCTTGGGTGACTGTTTTTCATGTATTTCCTCCCTGGCAAGGTTTCTTCATCCGCCCGTTTTACAAGATGATGCTACAGAAACCGATAACTCTTCATGACATGGAGTCAGTGGTACGTTGATTCCACTTACAGCGCGATTCAAGCAGGCAACCACACAGTGTGCAGAATTAGGATTTGTTGTTGTTGTTGCTGCCTGTTCGTGTTTTTGCAATGCTGGACCATAAGCCCAGGGCCTTGTATATATACTCCTAAGCCACATGGGGATTTTTCTTGAGGCCCAGAATGGCCTCAGAACCATGATCCTGTTGATCTCTGCCTCCTACAGAGCTGGGATTACAGGTTTGAGCCGCTGTGGCCAGCCAGTTTTACTTATGTACTTAGCTATTATCTACTTATATATGTAATATGTGTAGATGCATATGGAAAAGCTGTTCAGCTAGTGCTTCTATTTTGCTCTAGTTACTCAGATTCTCAAAATAACCTCTTATGTAAGTTCAGGGGTCTCTAGATACGAATTTTAAAAATACGATTTTCCCTTTCCAGGATGGTGAATATTATAATTCGCTAAGATGGATTCTTGAAAATGATCCAACAGAATTGGACCTCAGGTTCATCATCGATGAAGAACTTTTTGGACAGGTTTGTGAATTTCCAAATGCTACAGGATTTGTGAAATACAGCCAGCCACTGGTAGCTCACAATTATAATCCTTACTACTCAGGAGGCTGAAATCTTAATAGCAGGGTTCGAAGCCAGTCCAGGCAGGAAGATTCATGAGACTCTTATCTCCAATTAGCCACCAAAAAACCAGAAGTAAGGGGTGTGGCTCAAGTAGTAGAACACCAGCCTTGAGCAAAAAAAAAAAAAACACTAAGGAACAGTGTCCAGACCTGGCACACACACATACACAAAAAGAATTTATGAAATAAACATAAGCTAAGTTTAGGTATGAATGTGCACACTCAGTCACATTTCTGGGCTCTATTTTTACATTTGTTTTCCAACTACAAAGGCAGTCTCTCAGTCCTACTTAGTGTCATTAACATTTGACTCATTCCGTGTTTATTTTAGTAAAACTAATATTTAGGTTTTCTTAGTGTTCGGTTTTTGAATGGATTTGATTTAAAACACCAGGCCCTGGCATAGCTATCATCTGTATACTTTTTCAATGTGTTCTCCCTAAAATAACATATCCAGGTATCATGTTTAATTTCAGACACATCAACATGAGTTGAAAAATGGAGGATCAGAAATCGTGGTCACCAATAAGAACAAAAAGGAATATATTTAGTGAGTATTTTATTACCTAAGCATTTTCCTCAAAATAATTTTGTACTTTCTTCTGGGATTTTTCTTTCTCCATCCCCAGAAGCCCAAAGCTCTTTTTCTCATGGAAAATGCAGTGCATAGCAAAGCCCTGAATTCAACTGCTAGTACCATATGTATTTATATATATTCTCATGCATTTGCATACTATTAAATAGTAATATTATTGGTTACATATAATATATAACCTGTCTTTTTTATTGTTTATTATTGGCTCTGGGACTTGAACTCTGGGCCTGGGACTGTCCCTCAGCAATTCAGCTCAAGGCAAGCACTCTACCACTTGAGCTACAGCACCACTTCCTAGCTCATCTTTATGTTCCGTTTCTAAGTAGAATAAAGCTGTCTTGCTATTTGTTTTCCTTGGTTCATATGTAAAATATCCAAATGTGGGATTTTTTTTCTGTCTTGTGTTTAGCCTTGTAATACAATGGCGGTTTGTCAACCGAATCCAGAAGCAGATGTCTGCTTTTAAAGAGGTATTTATTTTCTTTTATTTTCTTCCTCATGTTCTTCTACAGTTTCGTGCAGTCCATAAGTTTCCAGTACTGAGCTTCCTTGTAGCTCCAAAAGATAGGTATATGGCTTGCTTGATTAAACCACGCAAATTATATTATTTAAATTATATTATTATATATTATTGTTTAAATTATTTAAATTATATTAAAAACAAATTCCATAAATAGATGTTCATTATTTAATTGCAGTTATTCAGAATAAGGTGGGTTCCTGGCTTAAGCAGTAGAATGCCTGCCTAGCAAATGTGAGGCCCTGAGTTAAATCTCAGTACCAAGTCTTAAGCAATGAACATTGACCACACACACACACACACACACACATACATACACACACACATACACACATCTATACTTAGATTTAATTTATTAGTTTTAGTAGTATTGGAGTTTGAACTCAGGACTTCACACTTGCTGCCCTTGCTTGCACAGAGCTGGTGTTCTACCATTTGAACCACACCTCCAGCTCAGCTTTTTGCTTGTTAATTTGGAGGCAGAGTTTCATGGATCTCTCTGCTTTGGTTGACCTCAAATTGTGATCCTCCAGATCTCAGCCTCATGGCCTGATCCATGAACATCCACCTGTATGTGGATGTTTTATAATAACCACTTTGAGGACTGGAGCCATTTCCTTGGTAAAATGGAGAGCTCCATGAACAGCCCGTGTGGTTGACGTGGAGGAACTGTATCACAGTCCCTTGAACCTGCTAGCCAAATTTTTTAATACTTCTTTTATTCTACTAGGGGTTTTTTGAACTAATACCACAGGATCTCATCAAAATCTTTGATGAAAATGAGCTGGAGGTAAGAAGCACTGTTTGTAGACTAATGTGGTTTTGAACCGGTGATTCTCCTGGCTTCCAACCTTCCACCTTCCTGTGTGTGTGTGTCCACTGCAGCTCCTTATGTGTGGATTGGGAGACGTCGATGTGAATGACTGGAGAGAACACACCAAGTATAAAAATGGCTACTGTGCCAATCACCAAGTCATCCAGTGGTTCTGGAAGGTAAGGGAAAATTTCCTCACTTCCTCAGAGTGAGATCAAATCATATGCGTGCCAACTATTTGTATGTATGTGGGGTGTGTGTGTGTGTGTGTGTGTGTGTGTGTGTGTGTGTGTGTGTGTGTGTGTGTGTGTGTACCAGTCCTGGGGCTTGAACTCAGGGCCTGGCTACTGTCCCTGAATTTGTTTTTGTTATTTTTTATTGTTGTGATAAAGGTGTTGTACAGAGCGGTTATAGTTACATGAGGCAAGTAAAGAATGCATTTCTTTTTGGACAATGTCACTTCTTCCCTTGTTCTTTCCCCATTTTTCCCTCCTTGAGCTTCTTTTTTTTTTTTGGGGTCCGGTTGTGGGGCCTGAACTCTGGGCCTGGGCGCTGCCCCTCAGCTCTTCAGCTCAAGGCAAGCGTTCTACCACTTGAGCCACAGCGCCACTTCCGGCTTTTTTCTTATGTGGTGCTGAGGGATCGAACCCAGGGCCTCGGGCATACAAGGCAAGTGCTCTACCACTGAGCCACCTTCCCAGCCCTCCTTGAGCTTCTTTTGCTCAAGGCTAACATTCTACCACTTGGAGCCACAGCTCTACTTGGTTGTGCTTAAACTCTGGGCCTGGGCACTGTCCCTGAGCTCTTCAGCTCAAGGCTAGCACTCTATCAACTTGAGCCACAGCACCATACCAGGTTTTCTGATGGTTTATTGGAGTTAAGAGTCTCACAGATTTTGGTGCCCAGGCTGGCTTTGAACCACAGTCCTCAGATCTCAGCCTCCTGAGTAGCTAGGATTACAGGTGTGAGCCATGGGCTTCCACTTGTGATATGTTTGGTGGTTAATTGGATATAAGAGTCTCATGGAGGTTGGGTTGGGAGTGTGCCTTATAGTGGTAGAGTGCTTGCCTAGGATGCATGAAGCCCTGGGTTTAATTCCTCAATACCACATAAACAGAAAAAAAAAAAAAGCCAGAAGTTTCGCTGTGGTTCAAGTGGTAGAGCACTAATCTTGAGCAAAAATGAAGCTCAGGGACAGTGCTCAAGCCCTGAGTTCTAGCCCCAGAACTGGCAAAAAAAAAAGTCTCAGGGACTTTCCTGCCCAGGCTGCCTTCAAACCATGATCCTCAGATCTAGTCTCCTGAGTAACTAGGATTACAGGTGTGAGCTACTGGTGTCTAGCTATACATTAACTTTTTTTTTTGTTTTTTGGTCCGGTTGTAGGGCCTGAACTCTGGGCTTGAGTGCTGTCCCTCAGCTCTTCAGCTCAAGGGTAGTGCCCTACCACTTGAGCCACAGCGCCACTTCCGGCTTTTTTCTTTTTGCTTATGTGTTGCTGAGGAATCGAACCCAGGGCCTCAGGCATGCAAGGCAAGCGCTCTACCACTGAGCCAACTTCCCAGCCCCCTATACATCAACTTTTGATGAACCATCCTAGTGACTTATTTGTAGATAATTCAGAGAAATGTACCTCTGTTGTTGAACTTGGCACACTTCTCTGGACACAGGCCCCATCCTCCATACGTATTAAAGATAAGCAAGCAATGTGTTCAGAAGGCGTTGACACAGTAATCATGGCTGTCATACATAAATCTGCCTTTAGTTCCAACTGAAGTAGAGATTCTCTGTCTTTAATGGCTTCTTCCAATTTTCCTGTAAATATGTGTGCTGTTCAGTAAATTCAATTAATGTAAATTTTTTCCAGTCCTGGGGCTTAATCTCAGGGCTGGGTATTGTCCCTGAGCTGCTTTTGCTCAAGGTTAGCACTCTTACTTCTTGAGCCAGAGCTCTACTTCCAGCCTTTTCTGTGTATGTGGTACTGAGGAATGGAACCCAGGGCTTCATGTATATTAGGCAAGCACTCTACCGCTAAGCCACCTTCCCAGCCCCTCAGTGTAATTTTTAAAAAGCTATAAGTTACATCTTAAAAGAAAATTCTACTTTGTTAGGGTATAATTACATTCTAAAGAGTTACCATAGACCGGGCACTGGTAGCTCACACTTGTAATCCTAGCTACTCAGGAGGCTGAGCTCTGAGGATTACGATTTGAATCCAGTCCAGTCAGGAAAGTCTGTGAAACTCTGATGTCCAACAAACCACCAAAAAAGCCGAAAATGGAGCTTTTCTTCAAGCTTGGGCAAAAGAAGCTCAGAGACAATGCCTAGGCCCTGAGTTCAAGCCCCAGGACTGGCACATAGAGCTAAGCACTAGTGGGTTGATGCCTGTAATCCCAGCTACATCAGGAGGCTGAAACCTGAGGATCAAGATTTGAAGCTAGCTCAGGTGGAAAAATCTGTGAGACTCTTATCTCCAATTAAACCACTAAAAAGCCAGAGTTAGAGCTATAGCTCACTTGGTAGAGCGCTAGCCTTGAGTGACAGTACCAAGATGGTGAGTTCAAGCTCCACTAATAGCACAAAAAAAAACACAAAAGTTTCCATGAAGCCTTTGAGATAGACTTTCAAGAAGACAGGTTTAATTAAAATAGCATGCAAGTTTAGTCAGTGGTAATTAATGCTACAATTCAATTTTAGCAGCATATTTTTGGTATAGTTATTTTTTTCTCCCCAAGTATTGTTTCCTAAACGAAGTTTTGACTTTCTGTCAGGCAGTCTTAATGATGGACTCAGAAAAAAGAATAAGATTGCTCCAGTTTGTCACCGGCACGTCCCGTGTGCCTATGAATGGATTTGCTGAACTCTATGGTAAGGATTTTCCATGGATCATGAAAAAGAATGGAGCCACGCTAACTCTCTTTTCATGACTAATTTGTCTTCAGGTTTCTGTCATCTATGCTAACATTTAGCTCAACTTAAAAAAAAAAACAAAACAAGGGGCTGGGAAGGTGGCTCAGTGGTAGAGCGCTTGCCTTGCATGCATGAGGCCCTGGGTTCGATTCCTAAGCACCATATAAGCAAAAAGAAAAAAGCCGGAAGTGGCGCTGTGGCTCAAGTGGTAGAGCGCTAGCCTTGAGCTGAAGAGCTAAGGGACAGCGCCTAGGCCCAGAGTTCAGGCCCCACGACCGGACCCAAAAAAAAAAAAAAAAAAAACAAGGCTGAGAAGGTGGCTCAGTGGTAGAGCTCTTGCCTTGCATGCTCAAGGCCCTGGGTTCGATTCCTCAGCACCACATAAGCAAAAAGAAAAAAAAAGCCGGAAGTGGCGCTGTGACTCAAGTGGTAGAGCGCTAGCCTTGAGTTGAAGAGCTGAGGGACAGCTCCCAGGCCCAGAGTTCAGGCCCTACAACTGGGCCAAAAAAAAAACAAAACAAAACAAAACCCAGGCACTGGTGGCTCATGCCTGTAATCCTAGCTACTCAGGAGGCTGAGATCTGAGGATCGCAGTTCAAAGCCAGCCTAGGCAGGAAAGTCCATGAGACTCTTATTTCCAATAAACCACTCAGAAAACCAGAAGTGGTGCTGTGGCTCAAGTGGTAGAGCACTAGCCTTGAGCTGAAGAGCTCAGGGATAGCGCCCAGGCCCAGAATTCAAGCCCAACAACCAACAAAAAACAAAACAAAACAAAAAAAACCCAAGAATTATTGAGCATGGTGACATACTTTTAATCTCAGCTCATGGGAGGTATAATCAAGAAAATTGTAAGTTCAAGGCTAACCTCATCTATGTAGTGATACCTTTTTCCAAACAAAACAAAAGTGACCTGGGCACTCTTGGCTCACACCTGTAAAAGTAGCTTCTCAGATGGCAAAGATCTGAGGATCGTGATTCAAAGCCACCTTGGGCAGAGCAAGGTGAACAACTCTTATCTCCAATTAACTAGCAAAAATCTGGAAGTGAAGCTGTGCCTTAAGTGGTATAGTGCCATCTTTGAGTGAAAAATGAAAGTGAAAGTCCAGTTCAAGCCCTGGTACTGGCAAGAACTCAATTAGGAAGGGCAGGAGGGAAGAAAGGAGGAAAAGAAACAAAGAGCAATGAATACCGAAGAGCGAAAAGTTTCTAAAATTATTCATGATAAAAGAAAAGAACGTATTCATAATAAAAGAAAAAACGTATATGACCCTGGTGGGCCATGGCTATAATCCTAGCTACTCAGGAAGCTGAGATCTAAGGTTTATGGTTGTAATCCAGCCCAGGCAGGAAAGTCCGTGAGACTCTTATCTCCAGCTAACCACCTGACAGAAACTAGAAGTAGAACTGTGGCTCCAATGACAGAGCACTAGCCCTGAGCACAAAAGCTCACTCAGTGACAGCGCCCAGGCCCTTCAGTTCAAGCCCTAGGACCAGTACGAAAACAAAAAAAAAATTCTGAGAACACCCATTTCCCTGTGTACTTGTGAAGAAACTCACACGTAACTGTGCAGTGGTGTTCAGAGCTGTAAAACAGGCGACACTCATGCAACACCTAAAGGTATTCCTGGGCGCTCACACATTAGATGGCAAAGAAGTATGGCTTCACAGGCGTGGCTGGCACAGGGCAGGCTGCATTTCTTCTGGGTTGGTTTATTCCTATGGGCATGTAGGTTCTACACGGGTGTTGAATGTTCCTGGTGAGACTACACGACACCAAGAAACTCTTGTTCCTTGCAGGCTCAAATGGACCACAGTCATTTACGGTGGAGCAGTGGGGTGCTCCGGAGAAGCTGCCCAGAGCGCACACCTGGTGAGCGATGCTAAACCCTCACTAGATCAGCGTCCCCAGAGCCCAGAGTTCCTCCCGTTCACGCCGTTTCATTGGAGATAAGAGTCTCACGATCCTCAAGCGGCAGCCATCTGGCTGTGTTTTCCTGTGCCAACTTTTGTGTTTGACCGTGTCTTTTCCTAACCAGCTTCTATCTTCCTTTCAGCTTCAATCGCTTGGACCTGCCACCCTATGGATCATTTGAAGAATTATGGGATAAACTGCAGATGGCAATCGAAAACACTCAGGGTTTTGATGGAGTTGATTAAACCAAACAAGCCATGGTGTCTTTTATTCCCCCCCCACCCCCCGTTTTCATAAGCAAAAACGTATCTTAAATGTGTCTGGGGAAAACAAAACCTAAACACTTAGCCACCGTATCTGCCCCAGCTAGCACAGGAAAAAATCACTGAAAAAAAAAAGGTTAGAAAGAAAACGCACGGCAACTTTGCCACCACTTTTATTTTTCTCAGAGCCAGGGCTGCATTCGTTCTGTCTTTAAGAATTTCCATGCTACCATTTAGAAGTCCTGAAAACCTAACACAGTGAGTTCGTTCCTTCACATTTACCTCTTTTTTTTTTTTTTCTTGCAGTATTTGCTAGGCAGTTGTTCGTTTTTTAACTACTGAAAATGTAACTGTGAAGTATCTGTGATAAGTGTCATGTGTGAAAAAAAAATGGATGCTTTTTTTTTTTTTTTTTGAGAAGGAAAACTGAAGTTTGGAATTGTTTTCATATTAAGGAAACACCAAGGTGTTTAGTTGTATTTAGTGTTAATGCCGGTATTTATTCTTAGCGGGCCCCTTATTGCCAGGATTTTTGGAAGAACTTTTGGAGAGTATGTTACCTATTGCAAAAAAATGTGTTTACTTTCCTCACATGTGTGTGTGTGTGTGTGTGTGAGCACACGTGCACCCATGTGCTCACACTGGTCCTGGAGCTTGAACTCAGGACCTTGGGCTCTCACTTCACTCAAGCCTGGCACTCTTGACCACTTGAGCCAAAGCCCCAGTGCAGCTTTTTGCTAGTTAATTAGAGCTAGGATTTGTCTGGCTGGGCTGGCTTTGAACCACAATCATCACATCTCAGTCTGAGTAGCTGGGATTACAAGCATGAGCCCCAGCGCCCGGCACTTTCTTCACTTTAAAAGTATTTGGCACTTTTTCATATTGCAGCTTTACCAAAGTGGATCATAAGGAGAGGTTGCAGTGGGTGGAAAGGGTTGAGGCCTGGGTGCCCAATGGGGCAGGCCTTGGCATTTTAATTTGTAGGGTAGTTAGAATTTGTTCTTCCAATGAGAGAGCTTCACAGAACGGCTTTTGCACACCCGGTGAAGAACTGAGATCATTGTATTGTCGCTGCCTTTACACTTGCACAAATATGTAGTACATACATGTTTACAGGGTTGATTATGTTTACAGATTAAGCTAATTTCTGTAGTGACATTTTTAAAAAATATTTTTTAGACTCACTTTCGTATTAAAAAAAACAAAAAATAATTTGTTGAGATAACCAAAGAGTAGTTAAATGCAGAATTTGTATTAAATTTGTGACCACATTTCTTATGCCTTTTACAAAATACTGCTTACTATGGAAATGATGAGTTATTATTATTACTATCATTATTATTACTGTCATTATTATTATTATTATTATAAATCCCAAATCTTTTCAGGCAAAGTGCTATAAGTAGAATCCTGCCTACTTTCACGTCTACTTTCATGGAAGTGCATCAAGGCATACCACATGCACGCATTCAACAAACATGGTCTGAGTGCCTGCTGCATGCACAGTGCTGTGCTGAGCCCTCGGGGTCAGAGTCATTGAGCAGCAGTGAACTGTAGCTCGGGATTCGTCCTCAAGGAGATTACAAATGTGTACAAATGAAGTTGCAAACCAGCCGTAGTAGGAATGAGCCAGTGCACCTGCAGAATATAAATTGTGCCAAGACTGTATGTATATGTTGCCTATCGTATGTTGGAATGGTTATATAGAACAATGCTGTAATTTAAAAACACCAATACTAAGCTTACTTCTCAACATGGTTCTCTTGGTGACATAGGAATAACTGTAAATATGTGTTATAAACATTCGGAAATACATATAAACATTCTGAGAGACTTATCCCAAAGACCTTCTGGCCATTGGTTTAAGCTTGTCTGGGATCTACCGGCTCCTGGAGGCAATTTCTGACAATGGTCACCAGACTTCCTCTCAGTTTGGTTTAAGGATAGATCAGTACACTCTCTCCCCCCCACACACACACTGTCCCTCCCCCCTCCCCCAGGTTTGGCCAGCAAGACCGCCCGGTTGGGTCCTACTTCTGTCTTGTTGGGTGAACCACAGCAAGTTGTTTAACCTCTCTGAGCTCCTGTGTCTTCATCTGTCAAGCAGAAGAACAATGCCCATCCTATGGCCATGCAGAATTGTGCAAAGTTCCGGAGAAAAATCAGGAAGTACTTTGGAAAGCACTAAGTTGAGGAAGCTTGCTCCTAACCTTCAAGATGGTGTCAGATCGGGGTGCTCCCAAAGAATTGCTCCCGCTGAAAGTAAAGGAATTGATTGTAGCTTGGGGAAGTAGGGGCATAGGCGATACTAAATGCACACCTATACATACATGTGTGCAGCTCTGGATGTGTGTTACAGCCGTACAATACCAATTCAGTTTCTCCAGAACAAAGTAATATTAATATGGGCCAATGCATTTGGAAATGTGCTTACTATGTACAATTGAATGTAAAACTCACTTTTGGAAAGCAAAATTTTATTTTTTTAAATTCTTTTTTGTGCCAGTACTGGGGCTTAAACACAGTGCCTAGGCTCTGTCCTTAACCTTTTTTTTTTGCACAGGGCTAGAGCTCTACCGCTTGAGCCACAGCTCTGCTTCTGGCTTTTTTTTGGGGGAGGGGGGTAGTTAATTGGAGATCACAATCTCACAGACTTTCCTGCCCAGGCTGGCTTTGACCCTATCCTCCAATCTCAAGCCTCCTGAGTACCTAGGATTATAGGCATGAGCCACGGGCACCTGGCTGTGTAGATGTTTAAATATCACTTCTATGAAAAAATCATAGCTATCAGAGTTTTAGAAAACACCAAGCTTTCTTTTCATTTGACTGACGGAGACTCATTTGATCCTGTGACTCAGACCCTGGGGTTCAGAAGACCAGGCTCACTCCTGCACACCACCAGCCCTAAGCAAGACTGTGTACCCAGGAGAGGCTCCTTTTTTATTTGCATTTTATTTTATTGTTGCCAGTGCTGGGGCTTGAATACAGGGCCTAGGCACTGCCCCTTGAGTTGTTTTGTGTGTTTTTTTTTTGCTCAGTGCTAGTGCTCTTCCACTTGAGCCACAGCTCCATTTCCAGCTTTTTTTGGTGGTTAATTAGAGATAAGAGTGTCACGGGCCTTCCTGCCTGGGCTGGCTTCAAACCATGATCCTCAGAACTCAGCCTCCTGAGTAGCTAGGATTATAGGAATGAGTCACCAGTGCCCGGCATATTTTTATTTATAATAAAGCAATGACATCATACTTTTCTAGAAAAGTGTTTTATCCTACATTTTTCTCCAAAACCAAATTATGTTATAAATTATGTTATAAATGCTATTTTAAAGGCCATCTGTTTCCATTTTTATTTATAATTTTGAAGTTATCTCCATATAAATAATCCAGTTTAACCATTTAATTAGAAACTATTGAATCTTTGTTGTTCTTTTTTTAAAAAGATTTACACTAAATATATATCCATCTTGATGTATCAAAACTTATTGCCTACTTTAAAGTATGAAATCATTTTTAAAAAGCTCAATTCCAAAAATAAAGTTCTATTCTAATTTTAAAAACAAAAGTGTGACTCATTTGTTAAGTAGAAGTGTTTTTAAACCAGTATTATGGGTGATGTAATTCTCAAGACAAGCTTAGATTGGATATATCTGATTATAATTTTCCTTTCTTTCTTCCTTTCTTCTTTCCCTCTCTTCTTCCTTCCTTCCTTCCCTTCCTTCCTTCCTTCCTTCCCTCTCTTTCTCTCTCTCTCATGAGTACTGGGGATTGAATGACTTTGCACTTGCTAGGGAAGTTCTTTAAAATTTGAGTCATGACTCCGTGTCTTTCTGCTTAGTTTATTTTTCAGGTAGAATCTCCTGCTTTTGCCTGAGACCAGCCTGTGACTGCAGTCATCCTATCTTCCACGTAATCTGAGATTACAGTGTGCACCACCATTCCAAGCTTGTTGGTTGAGATGAGGGTCTTGTAACCTATCATTTGATCTGGCCTTGGACTGAGATCTTTCCAATCTCCTCTCCAAGTAGCTGGGATGTCAGGTATGCGCCACACTCCTTCCTGCCCATGATGATAAACGTCTTCACAGGCAATCTGTTTTCACTTTACAAAATGATCATGTTCCAAATATCTGTTTGATAATGAAATCAGACCAAAAAGAATTAGAAATGGACTGGAGCCATTGCACTGATATACAAGTCTGATCCTGCTGTTCTACTGGAAAGTCACCTTGGAGAGCTCAGCCCATCTTCATCTGGGAGGGGGGAGGTAGGCGGGTGGTTAGATCCTCCTTCCATCAGATACCAGCCAATGATGTCTTCCTGTCAGGAGGCAGAGCATACCAACACCCCCCCCCCTCTGCTTTTAATTGGTACAGCCAAGAGCTAAGAACAGAGTGTATGTACATATATATACACATATACATATAAATGGAATTAAATTCATCTATATATATTTGATTATTATATATATATTGACTTCACTTCTGGCCTTTGGCTGGTTTGCCTCCCTAGGCTGCCTTCAACCCTCAGATCTTAGCCTCCTGAGAAGCTAGGATTACAGACATGAACTACTAGAGCCTAGCTTAATATTATTAGTGAACTATCTTTCTTTCGCCCTCCCTCTCTCTCTCTCTTTCTTTCTTTCTTTCTCTCTCTCTTTCTCTCTTTCTTTCTTTCTTTCTTTCTTTCTTTCTTTCTTTCTTTCTTTCTTTCTTTCTTTCTTTCTTTCTTTCTTTCTTTCTTTCTTACCATGAGATTGGAACTCAGAACCTGGGTGTGGTCCCTGAGCTTTTATGCCTAAGGCTAGTGCTCTACCACTTCAGTCACAGCTCCTCTTCCAGCTTTTTGCTAATAAATTGGAGATAGAGTCTCATGGACTTTCCTGCCTGATCTGGCTTCTAACCACGATCCTAAAACCTCAGCCTTTTGAGTAGCTAGGATTACAGGCATGAGCCACCTGTGCCCAACTTGAACTACTTTTTGATGCTAAGTCTTCAAAAGTCCAATGTGTTTTATGCTTAAAGCATATCTCAGTTCAAACTGGCCTCATTTCAGGCCTCTCATACCTGGTGCTGCCATGTTGGATGGCTGGGGATGTGGCTCAGTGGTAGAGTGCTTGCCTTAGCATGCATGAAACCCTGGGTTTGATTTCTCAGCACCACATAAGCAGGAAAAGCCAGAAGTGGAGCTGTGGCTCAAGTGGTAGAGCGCTAGCCTTGCACTGAAGAGCTGAGGGACAGCGCCCAGGCCCATAGGCCAACCCCCACAACCGACCAAAAAAATTATCAAAATTTATATTTAATATAGTCTGCGCGATGACTTGGAAAACAATGGAAAGAATATAGTTGATTTGACCAGGAAAAAACAAAACCAGCCGGGCGCCAGTGGCTACTCAGGAGGCTGAGATCTGAGGATCACAGTTCAAAGCCAGCAGGAAAGTCTGTGAGACTGTCATCTCCAATTAACCACTAGAAAACTGCAAGTGGTGCTGTGGCTCAAGTGGTAGAGTGCTCGCCTTAAGCTGAAGAGCTGAGGGACAGCGCCCAAGCCCAGAGTTCAAGCCCCACAACCGACCAAAAAAATAAAAATTAAAAAAACAAAACAACACTACAATTCTAAAC